AGGCTGGCTTTGAAGTCACAATCCTCCTGCCTCCACCTCCAAGCCACTGGGATTTCAAGTGTGTGCCACCGCACCCAATTACCTCTGCTCTTTTCTAACTCTCTGTTTGCTTCTGTAACAGGTCCCCCTACCTCTCTGGTTCTCAAGAGATAGAATAGCTGCTCACCCAGGCAGCACCCTCCAGCCCACACATTAGACAGGTTTCTAAAAATTATTTGAACAATAGCCTTCATTCCTTGCCTCACTGGTGAAAGAAAACCTGGCTCTGCCAAGAAGTGTGTGATCATGTCTAGTCCTTCTCTCCCAGCTCCCAATTTCCATAAGATCGTGAAGTTCAAGGAAGACATTTCCATTGTGAATCATTTTTACAACAAGCTTTTATTACTTTGTTTTTAAAACCCATATAAGAAAGACAATTAAAAAGAAAATATCCTTGGAACAAACACTTATACACTGGGCAACACGACCATAGAAGGCACTACCAGCAGTCACACCCACCTCTGGGAGGGAAGGAAACTCTATACGCCTTCCAGAGGCTCAGACCTCAGCATGGGTCCTGGGTCTAACTGTGCTTTAAAGACTGAATTTTCCCATAATTATCTTATTTCATTAACACCCTTACATCTTTATATATAGCTATATGCCTGTATACATATATATATATACATGACTTTTTTTTTCCTTCTCAAAAATAAAATAGCCATCCCAATCAAGGGAGGGTCTCAGCAGCATTCAGCAGTTGCAGCAGGAGCCATGCCTTCTCTTAAGGTCAGAGACATGCAGGACAAAGGGAAAGGGATTCTCTCTACCTGCTTCCTTTAATATGCAGCAGGGAGAGAGATTTACTTTTTTTTTAAGGGAGGAAAGTGATAAGGCTGAGCATGAGATGGCAGATAACCAGGGTTTTTGTGGCTTAAAAAATTGTTTCTAGCTCATGTTGCTTTTGTAGCTCTGAAGATGACACACAGTGTTTATGACAAGGGGTCAGCATTCCTCTGGGAATAGGGCAGTATGGACTCAGCCTTAGTAAAGGAAGAAACTTCGGAGGCTACACAAAGCTTGGGTTGGAACTGACCCAAGAGGGACTTAGGAAGGCAGAGGGCAGCAAAGAAATGGTCACTCCGAGGCTGGATGGGAAAACCAACTCTGTTTTTGAGAATGGCAAGTCCTTCTCCCTCTGGTTGGAGCATCTCTGCAGTCCTGGCTACTTGCTGGAATTGTCTGGCTAATTATTTTAAGCTTGAACCTAAACAAGGCGCCAGTACAAATATTCAGAGTCAGGAATATGATCCTCCCTGTCAATGTGCTGATATTACTTCTTGGGAAGTCAAAGCCTAGGAACCCAGATGGGTAGGAGGTGTGTAACCCTCACCCTATGCTCAAAGAGAGGGCTCCCCTGGCCTTGTCTCCCACACCGCCATTGTCCACTTCCTGGCAGAAGCAAGTCAGCAGCAGAGCTTCATGCAAACATGCCCTGCTCCTGTCTCTCTGAAACAAAAGGCACTGAGGTCAACGGGAGGCCAGACCCACAGGTTCACTGAGCCATGCCTGGCCAGCTTCACAACAGAAAGGACTCCAAGTTGGCCCTGTTGGAGGATCCCCCTCTGTAACCAAGGCCATGCCTCTGGCAGCACCTGGAGATCCCAGAGTTCCAGGGGGAGGAAGGAGGCAGTGCTGGAGGCCCTGGGGGAACCCAAGGCGGCCAGGCCCTCCGCTGCTGAAGGTGGAGGCAAGGCTGTAGACAGCTTGGACACGTTTCTCTGCAATGCTTTTTGGCTTTCTCTTGCTGCCTGATTTCCAGACTCAGCAGGAGACTTTTAAAATGGTAAATGGCTAGTTTCCCTTTAATGGAAACACATGAAGATGATAGTAATGTTAAAAACAAATTTGTAACTTAAAAACAAAGACTGTTGACATAGATATGACTACCATACATATATATCCCTTTGGGTTTACGCGGGCACAGTTTCAGCAATGAGGGCCAGGGACAGAGCAGGCGGCAGCTTCCCTGGAAATCCAGCCTCCGCCTTGGTGCGCCTTAGCCCAGCAGCTGGGCCAGAGACCACATGAACTTCCCTTAAGCAGGTACAGAGTGCCTTGGGCAGTGGGAAAGTCCTTTTTTTGAACATTATTCTGCTTTCGGGGACTTAGCTCAGACCTGCTAAAGGAATATGCTACAACATTTGACTCATAAATAAAGGTATTGAAGGTGGCAAATAAGAGAAACTGAAGATGAGTCAAAGCCAGAGAAAGAACATATTGTTCTAAAACCTTTTTCTCTTTTTCCTTTTGCCGGCTGGTGTGAAAGTTTCCAGTTTGGTGACAAGAGAGGCAACTATTTGGTTTGTGAAAGGCTTGCAGATTGAGAGAGGACAACACTGTTCATCTCATGAGTTCTGATCCTTGGTGGAGTCTGTTGAGGGGCACAGCGGTGGAGGGTGGGCGGGAGTCAACCCCCACACAGACACTTGTCCATGGAAGAGACTTTGTGCCACATCTGGAACTATGAGGCGGGTACAGATGCACCCACCAGAGATGTCCTGAGAAAAAGTGTCTGTTGCAAAATAATAATTAATAATAAAAATAAATCTGTGGGCATTGGGAGGAGAGGAAGCAAGACCAGTTACCCAGGTTTGCCCTGGGATTCTCTTAAGGCCTCCTCCAGTTTCTGTCTAAACTTGTTGTACTTCTTCTGTACTTGCTGGATTTTGTCCTGTTCTTCCTTTTCCAAGATTGTTAGGAAGTTCTGGAGCTCAGGGATGGAGAAGGCGTCCCACTGTGAGGAGATGTGAGGGGAGAAATGGAAGTGGAAACAGATTAGAAGTTGACATAATCTGAGGGCCTGGCCCCACCTTCTTCACATGGTTCATATACTTGGAATGACTCACAGGCACTTAGCTGCTAACTAGGCAGACACAGTGAAGGACCCTTGGCTTGTATATGTCTGTTGCACCAGCAGCAACAGTTCCTATCCTGTCATCTTGTGACCAAGAGTTGGAGGCCCATGAGCCTTGTTTTATTTTGAGAACCAGTAGCAGCTAAGGCCCCCACCGAATAGACCCATCAGAAGCAGCCAGAGGCCAGCTGAACTGAGACTCAGGACCCTTGGGTTGAGCCTGTGTGACCTTGAGCCCCTCACTCTACTCCCTTTGGCCTGTTTTCTCATCTGCTGTGGGTTTTGGGTACCTACTGCCTGTGATGGTGGAGCAGATGAGAAAGCACACCCTCTAAAGCTCTGGAAGGCCTGGTTGGCTCAGGCCTACCCAGAAAGGACCTGATCTCAGGATAGAAGGCAATCTGATTTCTAAGCTGACTCAGGAGCAAAGGCCCCATGGGGCCAAGGATGGAGATGCCTGTGGTTTTCTAGCACAAAAGAATATTATTATAGGCTATCGGATTTAATCCCCACATTGGATAAATGAGAAACCTGAAGACCACAGAGGGAAGGTGGCATAACCGCAGTCATGGAGCCGAAAGCAGCAGAATGCCAACTAGAAGCCAGGCCTCCAGACTAGCCAGGAGCCCTTCACGGGGCCAGTAGCACTCCCACACTCTCAGTGGAATCTTCTCCAAACCAACTCTTCTGTTGGAAATGCAGAGCTGCTCTGGTTGAAGTAGGATCAGAGCTCTACCTGCCCAGATCATCCAAATCTCCAGTGCCCTCAAGACCACCCTCATACCCTATACCTCCACTGAAGAGTGTGATAAACTGGCACCTTCCTCTGCTCTTGATCACTCCTCAAAGATTCTGCCTCCTAAGTATACCAAGCCTTGGAGAGCACCCATATATGGCACCAGACTTGACACTGGTTAACCCCCCTTAGGAGAAGGAAGTCAGTATTTTAAAAACAGAAGAGAGACAAATGGCTCAAAAATGTCTATACCCAGTGGAACTTAGTGGTATAGCTTGCTGGGCCTTATGCTATCCTGGGACAAAAAGCCTGGTCCTCCACCCTGAGTTTGCAGAGACAAAGCACACAAAATCCTTTCTCTGCACAGGCCTTGCCAGACACAGGCCCTGACTTGCTATTGCTACTCCTGGGGGCTGACAATCCTGGCTTCAACACTGAGCCTCAGGCCCAATGCTCACCCCAGCTCAGCTCCCCCAGAAATCATCTATCTTCCTGCTGCTGCCACCTGGCCCCCACCTACTTTGGGTGGTTAGAACAATGCCCGTCTTCACCCTCCCAGCATGCCCTGCGAGCTGGGTGTGTGCAAGGGCTGCAGACCTACCTCCACCTCTCCAGTTTCATTCTCCTTTAGCACAAAGCTGAGGACATCTGTGTCGGGCCCAGCAAGGAGACGCAAGTAGAGAGGGCAGTCAGCAACAGAGAGTTTCTGGAAGAGCACTGTAAACCAAGAGAGGGAGTTGGATGCTCATGTTGAAACAGGACAGGGTGGGATAGGATTGGAAATGCACAGCAAGGTCTTATAACTGGAAAAAGACATAGGGTCTTTTCAACCTAGTGAAATGAACTTGAATCTGACAAGAATAGACAGGGTGAGATGGCAGTGTGGCTCAGCAGTAGACCACTTGCTCTGGATTCCTGCCCAATTAAAAAAAACAAAAAACAAAAAACAGAGCAATGACCTTTTATCTTGGGTGTTTGCTTAGAGTTTACAGCATGTTTCCATATTCACATCATCTCCCAAAAGATTGGGAGTGGTGGGTGGATTCCCTCCCATTATACAGATTAGGAAATGGGAGCCTGGGTGCGGTTTTCCTGTACATGCACAGAGAGGGGCACAGTGAATGGCCATGATCTGCTCTCATCTCCCTACCCAGATCCCATGAGTGGCTCTTCCATGGATATGAACATCACATGGATGGTTGGACCCCTGATGTAAAGAACCCCACCTCCACCCCACCAGGGCTGGTCAGAGATTTACGGAGTGGACTTGAACAAAGTGGGGAAAGGCAATTTCTGGTTGGGAATGATTCATATTCATTCCCTCTCTCTCTCCCTCTCTCTCATACCTTGACCATCCTTGTGTATCCGCTTAAAAAGTGCAAACTTCTGGGGATTGTCCACAACCATAAACTTCTTGAGCAGCCCCTGGATGACCTCACTGACTGTGGTGGTGCTACTGATGTGAAGCTGTTTGATGGCATCCAATGGCAGATAGAAAGATGTCCGCTTGTCTGTGGTGGCTGCCAGGTTCACTTCCTTGATGGCATCATAGATGGACTGAGGCCGGATCCCAGCAGGCACTGTCACAGGCCGTCGAAGTTTCAAATGCACTTTGATGAAACCCGTGTAGGTGCCATCTTCGCTCTGCAAGTGGGAGGACATTGTGTGGGTTCAGGGAGGTCCACTTTGCATGATTATTATCTGCCACTTTGGACTATTTCCCTGGAGGCTACAGAGGTCCTAACAGCAGGGCCACCCCAGTCAGCTCACCACTTGTCTCCCAGGGTTGCCTCCTATCCCTGCTGACCTAGAGACGCTGGAGTGACACAGACACCTTCCATCCCAAGTGGGTCAGAAATAGGCCCATAGAGTTGAGCTGCCAGACAGGATTTGTGGGGCTGCAGCAGTTTCGCCCCACAAGAGGTTCAGGCTGACTGCCCCAAACCTCCTGTCACCAGGTCAATTGCCCTTGGTGAGTCCTTACTCTAAAACCAAGGTCTATAGTGACCTCTCTAGTTCTTACCTCTGAATCAGGAGGGAGAGGCAGGGGTCTGTAATAAGGTCCTCAGACACTCAAGCCACTGAATTTCTTTGCATTTCTTTATAAAAACCCTCAGACTAAAACCAGGGCTCATTGAATTTTCACTGCCTCTCAGACTGAAGCCCCAAAGACAGTTGCTTCCAACCACCAGCAGGGGGCAGGGTTCATCTACTGTCTCCTCTCCCACTGGAAGACTGCTTTTCTGAACCCTGTGTCAAGTCAGCAGCCCTCACCTCTCTGAGCACTGCACAGTCTAAGGGGTAAGAAGAGAAGCTGTGAACTCTCCTGGTCAAGGGCTTCCTGGGGGCCAAGCAATATGGGCCTCTGGTCACTGCTTATCATTTAACCCTCACAAGACTTCTGACACATAGGCATTAATGTCTATTTAACACCGAGGTTCAGAAAGTTCCCAAAGCCATAAGCACAGAGAAGCAAACAGGGATTGGATCTGGATCCTATTCTAAAGACTGTTGTTTCCCTGGCTCATGGAAGCCACTGGCAGCCCAGGCTACCGGCCATCCAGGGTCCAGGCTTCGGGAGGCCCAGAGAGGTCCCAAGAAAGGGGAGGGAGTTACAAGGGAGTAGCCACAGCATCCAGTGGGGAGCAGGGAGCCAAGCTGGATGGGGGCGGGGGGAGAGTGGGTGCAGGTAGAGGGCGTGTGGGGTGCAGGTAGAAGGCGTGGGGTGCAGGTAGAGGGCCGTGGCAGGCCCGGCTCACCAGCTTCATGCCCAGGCAGTTCTTCTCCCTGCTGTTGTAGCTGTCGATCTTCTGCTTGATCTCCTGCAGCGTGGGTGGGCGGCGCGTCTCTTCCACCGACTTACAGACATTCTGGAGCAGATAGAAGTGGGGGTGGTGTACAGTGGTTCTCAGGAGAAGAAGCGGAAAGACCACACCCCCCCAAAGGCCTCTTAGGAGAGGTGAGCAGCAACCCCCTCACTGTGGAATGAATTCATGGTCCCAGAGAGAGAACAGGAGGCCAGCCACCTGGTGGGGGCGCAGGGGAGCAACTCAGATCTCTAAGCCTCAGTGTCCTCACAAGTAAAATGGGAACAGTACCTCCTCCTCAGGCTGGTTAGGAGACAAACAGGGACTGACTAGGAACTGGTGAAGGAGCAGGGCCACATTTGCTTACAGAGGGTTGCTATGGAGAAGCTGCTAATGCTAAGGAGATGCAAAGGAATGCCAGCCATGGTCTGTCTCCTTGAGGAAGCAGCAGTAAAGCTGGAAAGACAGGTGTGTACAAGTGGTGCCAGCAAAAGCTGACGGGAATGACCCAAATTCTAGGCCCAGAGGACGAGGGCACAGGGACACAAGTTCAGGCTTCACATACGGGCCACAGTGCTTTCCTGGCACACAGCAAGAAGAAAATCCACGTATTTGTCAAGGAAATAAGTGAACTGGTAGAGACAGAGGCTGGAGCTCTCTATGATAATCGGGGAGATAATCTCAACTAGGGGCAAAAGGATAACCAACATCTACTGAGCACCTCTTCTGTGCCAAGTACTTAGCATACACTATCTCATTTAATTCCGCACAAGCCCAAATTCTGCAAGATGGTTTATTACCCCCATTTTACAGGTGAGACCGAGAGGCCTTTACCAACTTGCGTAATGCCCGATAGTAAGAATGTGAAGAAGTGACCAGAAATTCCAGGTCTGGCCTGTTATGTTTCTCCTTTGACATCAAGACTCTTTCTCCATATATTCCCCTGTTGCACACCCCACCCCACCCCATACTCTCCAGGAAGGGGAAAGGATGAATGAAGTTAGGAGGTAGAGGTCAATGTCCTTACATTAGAGAGGGAGGTGGTTTCTGGGGTCTAAGTTATTGCATCCCTCAGTCAATTCTCTGAATTTCTCTCAAGATCACGGCCACTCACTTCCCAGTTTTGTCTTCACGTTGCCCTGTGTGGCTGGGAGTGCAGGATCTGGTTGGTTAAAAGCCACCCAGAATTTGCCTGACCTTAGATATCAAAAGATCATGATTCATCTTTGAATGAGGGAACTGGGGTCCAAAGAGGGATGATTCTGACACCTGCCTGTGGGAGTCTGGGTTTGGTGGGAAGTTTACAATTGCCCTGATGTCACACCACCACCCAGTGCAGCACAATGGGACATCTAACGCAAAGCTTGCCCCTGACCTTCCCCCACGCCTGTCTGTGGGAAATGTGCCATCACTTCCTCCTCCCACTTTCCAATACCACAGAGCAAACAAAATGTCAGACTCCAGAGCTGCCAAGAGAAGCCGCCAAGGTCAGCTAACATCTTCTGGTCACAGCACCTCTCCTCGGCCGTCTGCTCCCTCTGCACTCCTCCAGGGCTCCCGACAGTAACAGCATCATGCTAGGTACACTCACATACCTTCTCTTACATTCTACTTATATTATTCCTACTTTACAGATTACAAAACTGAGGCTCAGAGAAGTTGAGGAATGTGCCTATCCCCCACTGCTAGTTAATGGCCAAGAATCAAGTCCACCTGGAAATCAGGTTCTTCACAATTTACCACATGCCCCCCCCCCCCGACAGTCTCCAACTCACGTTCCTATAATGGTCACTCCACACTGTAGAGCTGGGATGGGCAGCTGCTAAATCAAGGCCTGGAAAGTATCTGACCTATGAAATGTTCATCCAAGTTGACTCTGATCAGTGGGTTGGGTCCCAGAGGCCTTGGAACTCTGTGCTCACTGTGTCACCCAAGAAGATGACAAGGAAGGACTCCCAACTCTGGAGTGGGAAGCAGCCACTAGAATGCAGGGCCCACCCTCTCCCACGTGCCAACTCAGGTCTCTGGAACTGAACCTGTTGGCCACCCAAGAGGAAGCCATCGCAGGGCCCTTTCCTGTTTGCCTGAAGTGAGTAAAAATGCTTTGTGAGCGTCACATGCTCTCATACATTGTCAATCCATTAATTTAGGGGTTCTCAAAATGGAGCTTCTCATGTGTTTTAGCTCCTGGAGTAACCGCCTTCACTGTGCACACCTCCATGAACCAGACATGCCGGGCTGCCTTCCTTCTGGGAGCTTCCAGTCAGAAGGATCAGCCATCTGGCTACCATTGTAGTCTTATCTCTGAGACACTCCTCAGGAGTTAAGAACTTTCTCATACTCATCTTCAAAGGAGAGTTAAGTAATAGAAGGCAAATTCTAGAAGCGACCAGAAGATTTCTCAGTTCCCTGTAAGAAAAGGCAGCTGCACCGTGGCTTTCTGAGGCCAGTCCTCCAGGCCTGGTTAGGAATACAGTGAGAGTCAGAGCTGCCTTGGTCTATGATTTCTACTTCCTGTTCCCCCTTTCTTCATCAGATAAACCCATCTATTCTCTCCCTTTCCCACCACAAACCTGTGACGCAAGTGGCCCCAGGCACCTCCGCCTTCCAAGGCAGACACAGAAGATAGCAGCCCTGACCTCACTATTCTAAGTCTGGGGGAGGGTGAGCTCCATCTGTGAGTGCCAGGAGCCCTGCGTGTGGCCAACACTAAGAATCTCACACCCGGGGAAAGTCAGTGCCCAGTGTGCGATGGCTGTTGCCCACACTGAGTCTGCCAGACGAGATCTGAGCCACAGACTGGATGAATCACCTCCCAAAGTAGGCCAGCCAGTGGGCCAGCCAGCCCCAACCAAGGACTCTCTAATCCTCCTCCCACCCTAGGATGGTGTAGAATCTAGACTAGTGGTTCTTAAACTTGCCTGCACAATGGAGTCATCTGGGGATCTTTAGAAACACACATACCTGGCCTACATCCCCAGTGACTTATGATTTAATTAGTCTGGGATGTATCTGGGCATAGAGATTAAAAAACAAACAAACAAACAAACAAAAAACTCCCAGATGACTCCAATTCACTGTGGCATTTGAGAACTACAAAAGACCCTTCCCCATCATTCCCAATCCAGCTGCAAAATTCCCACATTGGTGCCAGTAGATGCACACTGCCCACAAGGGCAGTATCCATTGTGTGAACAAGATCAAGAATATAGTCATCTTCCAAGGGCAAGGCAAAATCCCAACTTCTGTTCACCTGCCAGATTTTCAAGTGAAACATTTGTCTCTGTTCATGGGCACAAAGCTAGAAATCAAGAAGACAGCATTTGTCTCTCGGGGTGGCCCAAGATAGAGATGGAATAGGGAACTCTGTTATGATTTCACAAATATAGGCATTGGCCTGTGTCTCTCCTGGGAGTTCATACATCTTGGTGCATCTGGCATAGAATTCATCTGCTCTGATTAAGCCCCTGGCATTGGTGGCAGATGGCTGAACTGTTGCCAGCGCACCAGCTCGCCCAGGGCACTGGTGAAAAAATTGGTTTATCTTACATGTCTAAAGCATGAAATATCTGTCACCTTTCTTAGCTCTCGAGTCTATTGGGAGTGAAAAGTTGAGTGCTAGCTGTAAGAGCAGAGATGTTTCCCCCAAAGAGTGAGTCTCTAATGTTTCTATTAAAATATCCTTAACAAAATAAGGAGGGCCATCCCCTGTATCTGGGGCCTATTTCAGAGCAGATTTACCCTACGTCAAGTTTTCCTTTATTTTACCTTTAAGACGACAGTAACGATGAAACACTGGATGATTCTGCATTCTAATCGATGACAAGGAAGTCTTAATTTTGGTGGTAGGGAGTAATCCAATGCTCAAATAAGGAGAGCTCTGAGCAAGTCCTGTGGCTTCTAGAATCCCCAGGAGGGCATAGGGCAATCCATCAGAACTCCAGAACGGGTCCCCCAAGGTGAAGATGGGCAGGAAGACCAGAGTCCCACCCTCAGTGCCAGAACCCTCATGCACATCCATGTTCATAAATCACACAAACCTCATTTTTGCTAAAAATTTCACTCTTTTAAAAGATGTGTCAGCCTCTTCTCCTTCCTGCCTGCTACCTTCAGCCCATCACTTCTACCTGCCCTCCCTTCATCTGGCAAGGCCTCCCTGACCATTCCAGCCCTGAGAGATGATGGTGATGACAATGATGATGGTGATGACCCTTCACTAGTGCTAGATAAGTGCCATGCACTGTTCTACTCAGCATGTATCCACTCATTTCATCTCCACAGCAAAGTTATGAGGAAGGTGAAATTATTGTGCCCATTTTACAATCAAGGGAACTGAGCCACATTAAAATGAAAGCAGACCTACATCTAAGGCTAACACCATGCCATCTGGTGCTTACTTAGTTTACCCTCCAACTACTTATTTCACCCTGCCACAGGACCACCAGTGTTGGGTTTTCTTTGTAATTAGACCAAAGCTCCATACTTTTTCTGTTTCTTCTCTGGGCCCAATAGCACTGAGCATGAATCAGATCATAAACACTTGCTCAAGAATCTTCAATCGGTCCCTAATTGCCTATAGTGGAAAGAAATGTCTTAGTCTCTCCTAGGAATTATAGTGAGACTTGGATTTCAATTTAGTCTGAGTTCTGTGAAAGCAGCGGCCATATCTGTCTTGTCCACTACAGCATCCCAGAGCCTAGTTCCAGCTTAGCACATAGTAGGGCTCAGTAAATACCCACAGGATGAATACAAACGTGTTTTTGACTTCTCACTCCCAGTACTAATTATATGTCCTTGAGAAAGTAAGATGACCTCTAAAGCTTAGTTTCTTCATCTATAGCTTCAGGATAAAAATCCTTTATTGCCTCATAGCTTGATGTAAAGGTAAAACCAATCAGGATAATGGGTATGGAGGTGTTCTGGAAATTATCAAACTCATCCAAAAGCATATCTTGTTACTCTCATCCCAGGAAAACCAAGCCCTGAGCCAATTTCATTTCTCATTTCGTTGAGCACTTACTCTAGACTGGCCCAAGTGCCCAGAGTCCCTGCATTCCTTCCTC